CTGCCATCAGTGAACAGATGGTGGTAACGATAGCGATCGCTTAGTTATAGTTTGATACTGACAACACTGTTCACCATAAACATTGTAAAAAAACCGTAAACATATCCAGTTATAACCACACAGCCTATATATATATATATATATATATATATATATATATATATATATATATAATATATATATATGCTATACTCAACCACGCATGCTGGAGCCACCTATCGGTGACCCGCTAGTCGGAACAAAACGCCGCGACGATATTTCATTACGGAGTAGTGGGATAAGAGGTAGATATCAGCACCACCAAAAGTGGTCCCAGCTACTTTGGCAAAGCCGTTTCAAAGGTTTTCTCCCAAATTAAAAGTGGCTGTCGAAAGTTCTTGGTTCTTGCATGGTTATTGAGAAGCCAATGCTGGATTGGTCTGTCGTTATACCCAGAAAAGTAATATTGCGTACTTGTTAGCAGTTATATCTGGTATTAACAACGGCCCTATTTTTAAACTTTTTGTGTAACACGATGATATGATGCGAGCACCACGTTGGTACGTGACTGTTGCCCGCATGTCAAAGGGATTTAATAGCATTTTCCATACCGTTTTTACGTGCCCTAGAAATCTTATCGCTAAGCCTTTTAGTGATAAGTGACATCTTAACTGAGAAGAATCATAAGTAGCTGATCAGATTCTGCCGCCCGGGTGTTAAGTCCTCATTTACGTCTCATTTGGATCTGTAATAGCTGTGCAGGATGCATGACCATATGCATCCCTTATGTTTTCGTCCACGAGTATTGAAAGCGGGTCACTCCTTTGTTTTTTTTGTTTTTGTTTTGCTGGTCGATCGATTCCCTGGGGCATGTAGAGGCCACCGAGCGGTAGAACTGCTGCTCTTCGTCTGCTGCCGTACACGACTTCCAGCAATGTTCGCCTGATGGGTGGCAGACAATGTGGACATTGCTCTGTCAGTCTGCTGGGGGTCGTTTTTTGGTGCATTTCGGTATTTATGTCATGCGCACAGCTCGACGCCCTCCGGTCCGCTACTGGCCATCGTTAACGGCTCTTCCTGTCCCTCGGTGTCCACCGGCCAAATTGTGCTGTTACGGGCTGGTGCCGGCTGAGTGGATGGGTCCAACGTCGCCCGGCATCCATTCAACGGGGGGTGGTGGGGGGGGGGGGGGGGGGGGGAGGGGGAAGCAACTCCACTTGAGCGGACCACATATCAAACTGCGTCCTTCCAACATGCGGTCGACGGCAGGACACTGTCGCTCGCGCTATTATGCTGCTGGTGATTGCGCCTGAACGAACTGACTGCTTAGTGTCGACTCCCTGCGTAATCTCACCGTGCACAAGGCGTAACGACCTGGAGGTCAGGGGACGCGCGCCAAGTTCAAACTTCTGATGGAGGAGTGGGAGAGGGGCTCTGTGTAACCACCTTCAGACCGTTATTGGCGGGATTTCTGTTATGTGCTCGGGTGTAACCAGTAATGCACAGGCACGTTCGGTGACTATCAGTTCAAGCGTCACATGTTAATATGATCCAAACTCACGTATAGCCACGTCTTTGGTCTCCGTTATCCAAATCGGGTTCTTGTAAAGCATGCATACCTCTGATATTTTCGAGTTTCTGTTAACTATTGGATGGCATTCGTACCGCAACGGTCATGGCATATTTAATAATGTATTTACATGTGCTCCTTCCGCCCATAGTTGTACTTCAAACGGCTGTCAGCCACGGGCCTGTCCCCGCTATTTTTTTTCGAGATACGCTACGACTTCGAGGGACGAGCACCTATAAGTAGCCGGATATCCCCTCATGTCCTTGCTTTGAAAAATGGAAACACCACACCTCCACAAGGTAGCTGTGATATTTGCATCAAAAGGATCGAGCGTCACCGCTAAACAAATTAATTCGAACCCAGCAAAATGTCGACTGTTTCCTCATAACTCAATTTTTGTCCAGACATTTGTTGTAAACGCTGGTCCATGCTTCTGTGAAGCTGGTTTTGATGCAGAACGCTAAGTGTGCGTAAAGGAATCATGCCGCACATATGAGCCAACACTGTTGGGTTCTGTCAGTGTTTGCGCAGCATTCCCGACTAGGCCGTCCCACGGGCCGAGATCGAAGAACTGGACTATTGAAAAAAATAAAAAAAAGTATTTCCGTTATTTCTCGGTATCGGTTTGGGGCCGAAACGATACTCATTTCCGGCTATTCGGTACTCGGTTTCTGCTGGAAAGATACCTGTCCATTCTCATAATGTCGGCGTTCTACAAAATGACATTTGAGTGGTACACCTAATCGCCTGCAGGATGCATAGGACACCATATAGGATATCTTGGCCATGGAGGCACGTTGCGTTGCCTGGGCAGCGTTTCCGGCTGCCATTCTAGCCTCGTTACCTGGTCCTTATGGGGGTAAAAGCGTTGATGGTGTCATGCCACGCAGTGGCGTACCTGTCTGAATGGGCGGCGTCCTGGGCGGTAGTGCCTAGCCTTCCACCCTCTCACTACAGGGGCTATCATCAGCGGTATTTGCACTGACCCCTCATCGTGTCCATGCCGGTATGTCAGACAGCGTTGCCCGTACAACAACTCGCTCGAGGATGGAGACAAGTGACCGCAGGGTCTGCTGGCTATAGTTCACTCACAGCGCACGGATCCGAGAGCACGCAAGCCTACGCATTCAGTGACGCCCCAAGACGGCAATGGCGCGGGCTGTGACGGAGCACATGCGATGAATGCGGACGTGTCAGCAAGACGTGCTGCGCCGAGCCGCGTGTGTGACGGTGGCTGACCGGTGTCCGAGTGTGACGGTCGGTAACCGGCGGCCGACAACCGTGTGGACGGAGGGCGGGCACCGTGGGGATGTGCGAGGCAGTGCCGCCGAGTCGGGCGCGTCGCAGCATAGCCAATGTACTCGCGTTTCATGTGCGAGTTGTCATGCCTTCGGTCGTCGCGGGGGCCGGGTCGTTTACGTCTCTGGCGTGCTATGTCGCGGTAGTGTCTGACCGAGTTGATTGGGGATATCAGAGTTGGCAGGAGTAGAGTTTGAAAACTATTGTACTTCGATGGAGGCATGTGAACTTTTTGGTTGTCGGAGTACAGCGCTTGCAGTGCATCCGAAACAATTGTTGGTGTAGGGCATGGGGTCGTGTATTTGATGTTACGCGTAGCGCGCTCGCGTATTGGGTTATAACGCATCCTGAAATTCGAATTGGATTGGCTGCCGTCAAGCCGCGACAAAGATTTGACCACCGCTTGTGTAGGGTGTGGAATGGAACTGAAAACGCTAGCATAGCGAAGAACCAGTACAAGAGAACGGGAAGTCACGAATGCCCGTCCTTCGGCAGTCTTCAAATAGTGGAGTAGTGTTCATCGAGGAGAGAATAGAAAACGTGCCTACGCCCAGCAACGGGGCATGACAAACATAAAAGGCCACTTGTTTGAAGACTTTCTTCAGCGTGATGTTCGAGAGCTGAAAAGCCAAGTCCATACGATAAGTTGTTGCAATGTTTTTTTGTCATTAGCACTTCTTTTAAAAGTCTCTGGTATCCCACTCATCTGTGGGACACCAGAGGCTTTTTAAAAAGGGCTTCTAATCATTCACGGGCAGAAGGGGTTACCAGAACATAGCGTTTTCTTCAGTAAAGATTGCCAATTTATATGGCAATATACCAGTCAATGATGCTATCGCTGCCGTGAAAGCTAAGTCACAAACATTTACATGAAATTGGGTGCTTTCGGTCTAACTGAAAGAGGATATCCGCGGTCTTTTAGAACAGTGTCTCCAGAATAATGTTTTCTCGTTCGGAGTTGGTGTCTTGTGAAAACTGTGCCTTGCTTTTCGAAAAACTAAAAATCGAGTAGGACCATCGGCAGGCAATTTTCGAATTCACTTCTGCTATTGTTTCGATAAAGGCATGTTGCCGAAATGTCAACCCAACTGTATCTCCCTTCCCCTGGTTTTTCTCCGAGGAATAAGGCTAATACTACTGTCTGAATCGCAGATGAGGTAAAACTGGAAACATATGCAATAAACTCGGTCCTGGCGTGGTGAATATGCTGTTGGTGATGGCAATCCGTTCAAAATGTGCATTATGATGATTATTATTGAACACAAATCATAGCAATTTTCACTCAAAAGCAGTGCGCAGCTACGCTGGCTACTGGCAGGACAGATGCTCGTGAGGCATATGGGTATATCGCAGATATTGTCAGCAAATGGTCGTATGTCAGCCACCTCCGTTGTGTGGGGAAAATATGTTTTACTCGTTACTCACAACGGTCGTATTGGTTTTGGTAACTGACATGATAATGTCACCCTGGCAACTGGTCGACGAGGCTTAGTCAAAACCAGGCCTGGGACGGCCGTGCCGCGGTATGTGCCAGTCAAACTCTCCGTAGTTTTGTCTGGCGAAAAACCCGGAGCCGAAATTATCCGTTGAAACGACCTGACGACGACGACGACGAAGCAACCAACAAGCTTGACCACTCAGCTTTGCCGGCTGCTCTTGGGTACAAGCAACAAGCTTAGCTTAACAGCAGGTGCTCTCAAAAGCTTAATAGGCGCTTCGAGCGAAAGCCACCCTTTCACACCATTGGTAGTGGCTTGTAAAAAGTGTCCTTAAACGCTGCTTGCATTGGATGCTTGGACATGTGTATTTTCTTGCTGGAAACTGTTTCCCATGTGCTTTGATATTCACCGAGCGGGATCCCCAATATGTCAAGAGCATTGGTCCCAGTGGTTGGTGCCGGTAAACGCTGTCCACCCTGACGCGATCACTCCGCAGACAGGTGTCCAGTGTCGAGCTCTTTGATGCACCCCTGTTTGGTTATCTGGCGCAACCAGTTGCCATCTGCGTGCTCTGGTCTGCTCCCTGATCAGTCGTAGCGTCTATGGAGGGCGGGTTGGAGCTGACGTTACCCCGCCCCCCAGTCCTGAGCGACTCCGTCCGCGTCTGTGTCTCGCGCTGACCTTGACCCCGGCGCCTGACCCGTGTGCCACAGATCCCTGAGTCGGTGCTGCAAGGCGGTGAAACCTCCGACGACTGGCATCCGCTGTCCGGCAAGCAGGGCGAGGGCAAAGGATGGGCATGATCAACCTGATTATGAACTACACGGTCAGTGGCTGCGCCTCGCGGCTGGATGGTAGCACGGCGAGCAGCCGAGTTCGGCCGTGCCACGATTCACGCGGTGCAGCGCCGATGGGCTCCATGACTGGACGGGGAAGTGGGGCTTGATCGAGTCTAGTGTGGGCTTGATCGAGTCTAGTGTGGGCTTGATCGAGTCTAGTGTGGGCTTGATCGAGTCTGGTGCGGGCTTGGTCGAGCCTAGTGCGGGCTTGATCGAGTCTAGTGTGGGCTGATTGAGTCTAGTGCGGGCCTTGATCGAGTTTAGTGTGGGCTTGATCGAGTTTAGTGCGGGGCTTGATCGAGTTAAGTGCGGGCTTGATCGAGTCTTGTCACGGCCTGCAATCGTCGGCCCCGGCCGACTGGCTAACCCTGCGCGACGCGCTGTCGCAGCGCCTGAAAGCCCAAACTAGTAGTCATACTTGTTGATTTGTGCTTGGCATGGGCGTCGAGGCGCGATCACACACCAACGGTGTCTTGCGAATTATTTATTCCCCGACATCGATAGCGACAGCCGTTGATCACTTATTCAGGGTAGTGGGCCCATCCGGAATCGATATCCCACAAGTTGGACACATTTCTTTTCATTGGCGGGGAAGCGCATTACGTGCACTGTGATTGATAAAGCTGATTATAGGGTAGTTCCCATGAGCATCTCACTCAGCGGAACGGACGTGGCCCCATTTGCCCAGCCCCCATCGAAGTACGTTGGTAACAACTCGACCGGCGTACTGTTCGCGCTACCCCATTGGGGACTTTGTGTTAAGATCTGTTTGTCGCAGAGCTATGAACCGAATTGTCAGGTCAACGCCGATGCAACCCGACACTGAGCGGAAGATTGTTTAGTTGCCCTGAGCCGATCCATTGCCGGTGGTTGTCTGCAGAAGCCAAACCCCCACGGCGAACGGGCCAAGTTTTCATGCGCGTTATGCTTTGAATTTTTGTAAACTTTCCGGAATATCCATAGGTCTCAGCGGCCTCAATCGGTAACGTGCCGGGTGGTCAATCGAAATGTTCGTTTGTTCGAATTCAGGGCGTTCAAAAGACATTTGTACAACATTTGTTGTAGTGTATAGCTCCTTGAAAGTTTTCCTGCAAAAAGTCTGGGGCACAACTTGCATTAAGTTTGTGACACATACGCGACGTTTGTGGACACATACATGAACTATTGTGACACATACGCGTCGCCACGTTACCAGCTGCCAGATATTTAGTTCAAGCTAGCCTAGAAATGTAGAACCGTTTTTAGTAGAACTCTAGCCTACTTCGCACGTCTAGTGTATTTAGTTGAATGCTGCATTGTTGTGTACTGAACTTGTTCGGCCCGGCATCCATTACGCTGCCATTAGCCTAGCACTGGAGTCGATGGCGGCTGTCGAGCTCCGCACCATGAAGCCGCGCCAGCTTCCGGCCGGCCATTGTGTGAGGCTCTGTGGGCTTTACTGGCCAGTCTGTCATGCTGGGGCCGCGTCGGCGGGCCGTTGCGGCGGCGCCTCTACCACGCGGAACAAATGGCCGCCGCGCTGCGGCCGGGGTCGACTCGCAGGGCCGTCACGGGGCTGTTACAAAACATAAACAACCGCGTGCTGGGGACGGCTCGCACTGCCGCTCGGGCTGGGCGCGGCGGGTCTGCCGGCGTCCGGCCCGCTCGCGTGGCGTGTAATGTGCAGATTGGGGCTCTTTGAGGGGACTTGGAGGACGAGATCTGCCGTCCATGCTGCGGGTATATCGTGAAACAATTCTACCTCGTCTGTTGTAACTATTTCGTCCTGTGAAGAACCCGTCTGATGCCGGTTTATCGCCGACGCCATGCCGCGTGGTCTTGGCCCGGTGAATTAGCTGCAAAATTTGCTGGCAGTACTGCGGCTCAAACGTGCTGCCATGCCCAGAAATCGGGCTACTGAGTTCAAGTCAGCCAGTCGGCCATTTGCTGTGCTAGAACGCTGGGCCGGGGTGGTGTCTTGGGTCGACACCGGCACGCGCTCACGGTACGTGTGTTTCGGGAAGCCGTACGATTTTGTTGTCGGACTGGGTCACATCGACGTAGTATGTCACAATGCCCCGGAAACAGCCGCTGTCTGCGGTATCCGTGGACGAAAACGTTTCTGGTGATGTGTGGATGACTGCTACTGAGTCCGGCGGCTGGTCGGGGACGCTGGTCCGTTCCGACATGCCGTGTTCAGATGTGCATACGCGCGCTATTCTTAACCTGGATGCCTTGTAACAAGTTCAGTCACCCCCATGCTATCAATGTCGGTTAGATTTCGCTCTGGTGACCGGCAAATGAACCTCATTAACTGACGGAGACCGCAAGTCAGAAGCCGCCGCGTGCGTGCCTCGCCTGATTTGGTCCGTGCAGGCTCGCTCGCCGGCCGGCGGAACGGGCGTCGCTTGACGTCGCGCCGGCTCCGTTTGACCGGGAATGTTCCAATCAGCGCCGGCGACGCCGGACGATCGTCTCATCACGCTAACGAGCCGGCCGTAATGACCGCCCTGACTCGCCGCTCCGTCATCCGAGCCACTCGGGCAGCACGTGCCTGCTCTGGCTGCCGGCACCGGCCGGCGCTGGGCGCTACTTCCCCCGCTGGGGGGAGGCCGTGTGACAGTTGCGAGTCGCAGTATGTGAGCTCTGGCTTTTGGCCAGTTTTTTTCGAAATGGCAGGCTGTCACATTGGTGTCGTATGTTTCTAGCGGCTCGCAGCCTGAGAACGCCACACACGTAAGCTAATCCTCACACACTCACACAGCGCAATCATTTCGTCCGGATCAGCTCTGGCCAGTATCGCGCAGTGGACAACTCTCGGCTGCGTCGCGAGGCGGTGTATTTCCCCGACCGGGGTTCGCCCGCTGACGCTCGGACGCCGCCGCCACCGCCGAGCCGATTCGCCGAGCTGGTTAATTGACGTCGGGCCGTCGCAGGCGGTCGCTCGGACGGCGGAGTTTCGAGCCGGCCGGCCCGGACCAACTTTTGCGCGCCGTGTTCGTCAGCGTGTGGCTGGCCGACCGCCGGAAGCAGGACCGCCCATGGCTCCGCTCTCCGGCCAGGCGCCGGCCGCCTGTCGGCAGCTCGTGACACGCGACCGGTGTCCGGCGGCGCGAGCCGGCGACCGGCGCCACCGGACTAGCATCACCTGACGCTCACCTGACGCTGACGCATTGCCCCGTGTGACTGGCGGCTCTGCCAGGTTTTTGGAAACCTAAGTATAATGCGCAGATTTGTAACAGACCAGGTAGCAGCGTGTGTGTGCACTCGTATGACTTGGACGGACCGATCCCAGCGAGAAGGCGGTGAGATCTGTGCGGTGTTATAATCATAAGCACGCCGCGCTCAGCGTTACAGGTGCCCGAGGGGGAGGGGAGCTTGCCATGACTGGAACGTCCGTCCCCAGCCAGCGGTGGTAAGACGTGTGGGGTGCACAGCTTGGCTGCTGCGCTCATCCACTTTGGGCGTCTCCAACAGCCCTCGTTTCCGCAACGCAATTTCGTATGTAATGGAAGACAGATAGTTTCCAGATGTATTCAGATTGGCCGGGGAGTCAAGCCCGAGCGAACAGAAGTTATTCAAGCCAAAAGTTTCAAGGTTATTCAAGCCAAAGCAAATTTGCGGGACTTACCCGTTGATTTGCGAGGAATATATCAGTGCAGTGTTTCACTGATCGCTGCGTGTTTTTGTCGTCGCAAGAACGTTGATCACATTTTTTAATCGTAACAGATTATTTAGTCCACGCCCACTTCCAATGTGTTTGTTTTTCTGCATATTTCCATATCTTGCATGAGCGATAACGCCCGCGTTACGAGGATGCTGTCATGCCATTCACAAATACTGCCCGCAGGAGGATGCCAGGCAGTGAACGGCTAGGTGGTTGCGGCTGGCAAACCTCAGATGATATATATGTGCGGCTTGCGAACCTCTGATGAAATGTACGTGCGGCTGGCAAACCTCTGATGGGAGTTTCTTGCGGCTGGCGGACCTATCATGAAATGAACATGTGGCTGGCAAACCTCTGGTTGGTGTGGGTACCCGTGGCAGTCCTGTGACGTCACCCCGTTTGCGACGGCCCTCCGTGGTGAGCGTGAACTGCACGGGCATCGGTTCGGTGGCGGACACGGTCGGCATCCGTGTGGATGTCGACGGGCGGGCGTCCGCCGGCCCGCGCCCGACTCCGTGCTGGCAGCACGTGTGACAAGGTAGCCCCCCGCTGCTGCGCGTGCTTGCTTCCCGCCCGCCCATGGGTAGATACGCAACCGGAGCTCGTCTCTCCCGCGCGGGTGGAGAGGAGTCTCTCCGCGCGGGGGAGGACCGCAGCATCGGCGCGGGGTGAGCGGGGGTGGGGAGGGGTCTTCGCTCGGGAGAACGGCAGCGCAGACGCCGGGTAACGTGGCTGTGTAAACGACAGCGGAGGCCAAGCACGTACTTATCATCCTCCACCGTGGCCGGTTTGGGCTGTTACGCTGGGATGGGATGCCCATCAGCTGGGATGCTCATTGCTCCCTGAGCCCTTGGCAAACACGCGGTCTCACGTCTGAACGAAACTGTTTTCGGTGCCTGTGTTGCACATTGCGTCAGTGAGGAGCGGGCAACAGGGGAGCCCTGAAGCGCCGGGTGGACCGGGCAGCTTCCCGCCGTGTTTCGTGTTTCATCGGTGTATACTTACGCTTCAGTTTCGCTGCAGGCGTCGGTACGTTCGGTAATGACCAACGTCCTTAGTTACCGTTTCCAGCGACGGGGGGGGGGGGGGGGGGGGGAGGAGGGAGCAAGAGGTACAACGCCCTTGATGCTTTGCATTTCGCGCAGCTCTCAGTCCGGCCGCCCATTCGCGGCGGCGTGCGGCCTCGCCCTCTGTGCCATGTACGATCGAAGCCGGGCCGACTGGCTGATTGGAAAGCGTTTAGCGCGCCGGCTGCCGGGCGCCGCAATGGTGCAATCGATGCCAGTGTTTGTACCTGCCGCTGGCAGCTGCGCTGGACATGGCGGCGCTGAACGCCCTTGCAGTGAGATATGGGCAGGCGGCTAATGCAGGTTGTGCGCCCGGTGGGTAGCGGCTCGGCCGTCCGCTTACACCGCGTCCGTTTACAATCGGTGACCTTTCTGGATCGTTTCGTCGTCGCGGACCCTGTTCAGGCGCTCGCGAGGCGCCGATTGGCGGGCAGTGTCATTGGCGGCCCCCATGATGCCGCGGTGGGGGGGGAAGGGGGTTGAAGAGACGTAATGGCATGACCCGGCTGTTGCGCTGGTGCTGTAATCTGATGCCTCCTTAAGCGTACCTTGTGGCGTGGACACTGGGTCAACCACAGAAGCTATCCAAGCTGTTTTTGCGGTATTTGTGGTGTCAAATAACTGACTGTAACCGTGTAAACTGCTGTATTTCGATGCATGATGTCAGCCGGGCAGGGCTGGCGTGCCCTGTCCGCGGGAACAGACAGCGGCAGCTGGCCGTCTCGCGGGCGCGCCGCCCGGCCGATCAGGACACAGCGCCACCGGCTCCTCGCCGCCGAGCGACGCCTCACGGCTGAATAAGCGGGAAGAGTATATTTAAAGCGTCGTCCGGTGCGTGACAGAGATGCAAAATGGCGCAAAGTAAGCAGGGGCGAGTGAAAGGAAAAACATCACCGATATTTTATCCGGAAGATAAGCGCAGATAAAAAACAGGCGCATTTAGCGGGTCCTTCTCAGGGCCTTGATTCTGGCCGGGGTGGGGACTGTAGTGCTTAGACACTTCTGATGCTGACCGGGGTAGACTGTCGTGCCAAGCACGTCTGATGCTGAACGGGGTGAGACTGATGTCGTGCCAAGACGCCTATGATGCTGACCGGGTGAGACTGTCGTGCCAAGACACTCCTGCTGCTGACCGGGGTGAGACTGTCGTGGCCAAGACACGTCTGATGTTGAACGGGGTGAGACTGTCGTGCCAAGACGCCTCTGATGCTGACCGGGGGGGAGACTGTCGTGCCAAGACACCTCTGATGCTGACCAGGGTGAGACTGTCGTGCCTGGACCTCTCTGTGAGGCGTTGCGTGGATTGTCGCTGCCCCTCTTCACTTCGCCTGACGTCACGGGGTCGTTCACTAAGGCGGCGTTGCTCTGAGTCAGCTCGTGGAAAAACACACCAAATTATGTGCCCGGCGTCAGCTCGGGTCCGTCCAGCCGCTCCATTGTAGCGACGTGGACGGCCCGCGCACAAACACGGAATAGGACGGCGCGTAATGAGGCCTGTCCTGGTTTTGTTTGGTTTATCATTTCTTATCGCTGGGTACTTCAGACTGCCGGATTGGGTTGGCGACCTTTCTGCTTGGCGAGCCAGCATATTGGCAGCAGTGAGCTGGCCGACCAACCGTACCGTGTGAACGCCTGGACAACTTACCGGGGATTACTGACATGTTTTTCCGATGCCCTAATGGAATGCAAACAATGATGTGTTCGACTGACCGTGTGGATTGAAAATGTCATGCCGATGGCTGGGTTGCGGTGTCACGGGATTGTTCAATCTCTGGTCATACGTCACTGCCTGAACGCCTGTCGACCCGAGGTAACACACGTCATCCGCCGTGGAAGATTGCATTTAATGCAATCCTCTTATCTTATCAGATATTTAATGCGATATTTAATGCAATCTTTAATGCAATCATTTTAATCCAAGTTGGTCACCACCAAGGTCGCCGTAATCCAAAGTCGTAAATAATAACCGTCGTAAATAAAATCTTGGCCACCGTAATCATCAAGGTGTATTTCAGGTGTAATATTTTTCAGGCTGCCGATTACGATTACGTTTCCAAACATTGATTTTGCCATTTTTGGTCGTGGTCAGTGGGTGCAAAGATGTAATCATATCAGAAGCGTCACTGGCCGGGCCACTGAGGCGCAAGACGTGCTGTTAGTTAAGGTGATGACTCTCTCGTCTGTGGCCCGCTCATCATAAGCTCTCTCCCCGCTTGGCCCATGCCGTCCTAAACAACCCTTCCACACGGCGGGGATATTGGCTATCATCCACTGTTTGTGGCCGTCTGGTTTATGGGTTCACGCCGTGGACACATAATGGCGCTATTGTCGCTGGCAGTCCTGGAATGGGATCACGCGGCCGTAGCTGATCTGCAGAGTATCCGGCTGGAACATTGCTGCTTTTAGGACGTAAAGGAAGGGATGAGCTCCGTCCTTGTTCTGACTCCGGGTACATGGTAATTTCAGCATTAGATGAACGGTGGCGTTAAAGGCCTTGATGTGAACTACCTTAGAAGTGTAGATCCGCGGCGAAGTCATCTATTAATGAGCTATCTGAAGGGTCTGCCTTTTAAGCGCGCGGCTCCTCGCGCTGAAATGTAACACTCAGTGGCTTGACTGGAAACGATGACCTCCAGCTGGAAGCCGAGGTTGTTCAGGGACCTCAGACACGGCACCAACGGCATACCGAAGCTGCTTTCTGAAAAAAACAGAACCATATCATGTGTATCGTCTACGGAATTGGTTTCGAGTAGAATGGGTCGATCTACCGCGGGGAGATGTTAGGCACATACCTTTCTGCCAAAAAACATTTCAGCTGCTTATGTTTGTGACCAGCCTTTTGCATCGTCGGTCACATACATTAATGTTGCGTCCTGTTGCGACTGATCGCTGTGTTATGCGCCAGCCGCACGCTGGTGTGGTAGACAGGCACAAGTGGCGTCACCGCCCTTGGTCCTCGAGCCTACCCTATCCGCTGCTGATAGTGACATGGTGCGGATGCAGCCGCCTTTGACGTGTCAGCTCTGGTAGTGAACATTTTAGCACGCGAAAAATTTCCGTTGTTGGCTTGGTTATATATATATATAATTATATATATATATATATATATGTATATATATATAAAGAGTTTCCAGGCCTCAGCTGTTGTGCAGTGTCTCGTCCTCCAGGCCGCGTGGTGAGAATGGACCGCTCTGTCGACTGTGGCAGGCCCTGAGTCATCGGTCACGCCTTTACCAGCGCGTGTGTCGTTTGTCTCCCGCCCCACCACCCGTCTAACGGCTGCCGTCGCGCCTGCCCCGCAGCCGCTGACGGGGGAGATGCCGATGCCGGCACCGGGCTCGGTGCCGATGATGATGGCTCCGCAGGCCTACCTCGGCCTCATGCCCACCATCGGCGTACCCATGTACGCGGCGCCGCCGCCGCAGCAGCCGGCCCATCCGCAGCCGCAACCGCAGCAGCCGGCCGTCAAGCCAGAGGACGTCGCGCAGGTGGGAGTGGTGGCGCCGTGCTGTGGCGGCGGCCGGAACTGGTGGAATAGGTGGCGCTGGCGTGCGGCGCGTCACCTACATCATTGGGACGGGATGGGTCTGGGTCTGTCTTGTCTCGCGGGTTTTCAAGCGTGTGTTTTCTTGCGGTTTTTTATTCCGCTGTTAGTTGAATTGTTTAAAGCAATTGGGTGACAACTGTTGAAAAGTGTACTTCGACCAAAGAATCAGCTGACGTGAGAAGGTTGCCGTTGTCATTGGGGCTTGCATTCAGCTGCTGAGGCTCTATGGCGCCGCCTGCCTCTCACCCTGGCAAGAAGGCTGGGCACCGCGGGGAATCGAACCCCTTAACTCTGGTTTCCCAGACGCGCGTTGGCTAACGCAGGCGCGTTAGATGAAGTGGGTTGCCGACTTTACCACATATTCAATTGGTCTTCAGTCAAGGTGCCTTTTACAGTTCTAAGCGCTGGTCGGCGGTGCGTGACCTCTTTGATGTAGTTGACTTGCGCTCCGCTGATCTGTACCAGTGTGTACCCAACTCATTTGAAAGCCAGTGAATCATTTGTTGTACTTGTTATGTTCTGCCCCGTCGCGGTTTGGCTACCTCACTCATTTGGCAGAATGTGGACTTCATTAAACTACACACACATGTTGATAGCCATCTACAAATGCAGCTCGCAAATGTCCCCCGTCCTTCGGGTCACATTTGCAACGTCAGCGCGAACTTTTTCCTGGATATTCTGCCCGTCCCTGACGCCACCACGTGCCGCTGCTTCCTGAAGGAGATGTTCCCGGCCATGGACGACGAGATCATCCGCTCGGTGCTGGAGACGCGTGGCGGAGACAAGTCGGCTGCCATTTCGAGCCTGCTGGAGCTCACGGCCACCTAGTGCGGCGCGTGGGCTGCGCCGGAGCGGCGCCGCCGCCTCCCGCGGCTCCAGCGCGACCCGCCCTGTGGCGTGCCGCCGGGACGGCCGGTGCACGTCACGTCGTCTGGCTGTGGGCGGTCACGCCTCTTCTGAACACTGCTCCCTCACGCTGTCCGCTACAGCGGCGCACCACACCTCCACTATGCCTCCCCCGGTTTTGCTTTCTTTCCCCTGCGATTCCCCGCCCTCTGTTCTGCGGTTTCCCCGCACCGCTCTTCTAGCACGCCGTGTCTCCGTTTCCCTCCTGCCGCCGCTCCCTCCGCCCCGCTCATGTGGGTGGCAGCGCCGTCTGTTTCGCTCCGCTCGGAGCAGTTCTCACCGCTTCCGCTGCGGCCCTCCATACAGCTCTCGTAGTGCTGCACCTCCGTCCGCGTGACCCCCACGGTCCTGTTGTCCGGTGTCCGCCCCCTCCCCTCCCCATGCTGGCGGTCAGCCCGCCTGCTCGCCTCGGCCGGCCGGGTGGAGCGGCACGCCCGCGTCACGCCCGTGTCCTCCCCCTCCCCTCCCCATGCTAGCGGTTAGCCCGCCTGCTCGCCTGGGCCGGCCGGGTGGAGCGGCACGCCCGCGTCACGCCCGCGTCCTCCCCCATCCCTCCCCATGCTAGCGGTTAGCCCGCCTGCTCGCTTGGGCCGGCCGGGTGGAGCGGTACGCCCGTGTCACGCCCGTGTCCTC